GTACATCAGCTAACCCATAAGCTATTGCCCAAACCCCGCTGGGACATGGGTTAAAACCCCTCAGACGTCTGCAGTCCTCTCCCACAGAGCTGGAGCACCTCCAGCGGGACCCTGAGTCTCATAGCTCAGGTTTGATGTTCTCCAGCTGGAGATGTGTCGGGCCAACTGTAACCAACCCAACACCCCCAACCTCCTGGACACCAGCCCCAAGGGTCCCTGCTGACACCCATGCCAAAGCTGCTGCACTGTGACAAAGTCTATTATTAAGACGAGCAATTTCTCCTGGAGACTGTGGCCCGGTACAGCTGATGTTCTTTGATACGGCCAGAATTTAACAAACCACTTCTCCTGAATTTGATCTTTGTAATGAAAGATGTGCACAAGAATGCTTTTAATTGGGATAGTAGGTCTTGACAGGCTCATGTAGACATGGAAATGATATGTCTGAGCCAGTATGGGACTGATAGTTAAGAAGTAGGTGAATACTCCATGCAAAATGCAAAGCAGAGTGTTTTCTTTGGGTCTTTTCTAACGTCATTGCACCGCGTAAACACAGTCTGTATAATCTGCATTAAGGCACTGAGTGTACATTTACCAACCCTCCAGGTTACTTCTGCAGTATTATGATCTCCCTTCATGGCTGTTTTTTTGGCTGGGGTCTGCTGTGGTTTTGCCTTCCAAGAAACTCATGCCCAGAATTAAGTAGTACGGAGTCTGCTTCCAGAGGTACCCAGACAAGAGCCCGGGAACTCAGCTGGAGTTTGGCTGAACCTGGAGGTAGATTTTGTTTCTGTTCTCGCTTTTCTCCCATCCATCTCCCAGGCCCCCCCAAATGCCGTTCACAGGGATTAATAGGTGGGAGCCGCCTCTCCCTTGCCTCTCTGTGAGAAGAGCAGCCATGGCTGCAGCTCCTCGCATCAGCTGTGTCGGTGCTGGTGGGCTGGAGCAGCACAGCTGAGGCAGCCGGTACCTCGCCTGGCTGCCCACCAGCTTCTCCCCTTATAAAAGAGAGGCTCAGCCCCCTGCTCAGGCTCCTGCCAGTCTCCAAACTGGGGCTGTTTTGGCTGCTCCTACGTCAGCTGATGGTGGGGAACCCACAGGCACTCGGCTGAGGAGCAGCTTGTTGCTGGAGACTCTGCTGACGAGAGAGGCAGGCTGGGCTGGAGTGAAGGTAAATCTTTTCCTTTGAATCGATAGATTATGGGTTAGAGCAGAGCAGCTGAGCTTTGCTCCCTGTGGTCCTCGCTGCCTGGCGCGGAGGGATTGCTCCAGCGGGCCAGGGCTGGGGAGCAATTAGCGGGGTGACTGTAAAGGCAGGGCTGCTGTGACTGGTGCTGCTCCCCGGGTTCCCCTGCGCGCACGGAGGGGGAACACCCGGGGCTGCCTGGGGGAAGCGTCAACCGGCCGATGTGCAGACAGGCAGCGGGAGAGGTTCCCACCCGGCGCTGCGCTCCTCAGGCTGTAGACTTTCAAGTGCAAATGATTGACTTTAAAGGCAGCGAGAGCACAGCACAAATGACAGAGGAGAGGAAGATACAAGATCAAGCTCTGAGTGAAGGGGTCAGCCCTCTGAAGCCAGCTCTTGCGTGCTTTAATGGTGCATTTTCAGCCACATGCTCCTCTCCTCTGACCGCTCCTTTTTACCCACTGCTGACGCCAGCATGCTCTGTCTTACCGCATAGCACTTGCATAATGTAGGTGCATGACTACGGCAGTCTCAAAGGAATCTCGCCTTGTTTATCCAATGAGAAAGGAGGGGAGCATTAAGGTCTCTCTTAAAGCTTTTTTGGCCTGAAACAGAACCTTAACTTCTCTTAAAAACAAACTGTTTTGGGGGAGAAAAAAGGACGCTATTCCAATCCTCGCGTTTAGTCAAAACCAGGGAGAATTGCAGTGTAACCTACATGTCAAGCATGAAAGCTAAGTTTTGATTAGGCTTCCTAGCAGAAATCTCACTTCCAAAGATTGCTCATTAAGCTGTGATGGGGTGATGTTTGTTAACATGCTGTGCACATGGCCCGGTTGGTAGGAAAAGGAAACAAAAGAGACTAAATTAAACCAACAGCCACAGGAGATGAGGGTCATTCCTCTGGGAATCGACTCCAGATCTGTGCCTTTTCCACGGGGTGAAGTGCTGCTGCTGCTGGGTCCTCTGGGTTGAATCACTCACCACAGGCAAACCCCGTTCCAAAAGCAGGCGCTGCTGTTTAATCCTGCAAGCAAAAGAGGACATTTTACAGGCTGGATACACGTCTGCAGCAATTAGAAACGAAGGTGTTTATCCCCGCGGGCTGTGTGGCTCCTGGGCCGGGACCTTACGCAAGAGCAGACATGGGGCTCCGCGTGGTGCCAGCGCCAGTCGAGCCCCGCTGCTGACGGGTGGATCCCGCTCTCGCAGGGCAGCGTGGCCGCCTCACAGCTCCACAAACCTTCTTGAGGCATCTGCGAGCGGCTCCCTAAAACC